GCAGGACGTGAAAACCCGGAACATACTGCCACGGAGCAAATGGTGCCCAATTCTCAGGAAGAGCCAGGCGCAGCCAGCATCCAACACAGACTTATGCTTACCTAGAGGCAACCCCAGCACATTGTTCAAGAAAGCAATCATTGCAGTTAGAAGTACATACACACCTCTTTACACGGTCACGAATGTCAAAAAGGCTGTCACATTGCAGCAACATTATGTAGGCACATTAGATTGCACAAACACAGGAAGAATATGTCAACGTGTCTCCATACCCTAAGGGTAAATCAACCCTTCCTGTATCTCCTGCTTACGCTCTTTGGAGAGAGTAGGCAACTGATTTGGCTCTAACCTGCAGGAGCCCTTTGAAAGCATGACAGATATTTTCTCAAGACAATCACGTCAGGCACAGGGCTGCACTCACCCGGTCAAGATACTGGGGGAGGAGATCAGCCACCAGCTGAGCTGTGTTCCCACTGATCTCCGATGGCTTCACCACCACAGCATTGCCTACAAGACAAATGCAGCACAGCCCCTGAGTCCTCGCGCTCCTCTCCCACCTCCCGCAGCACCTGCCCACGGCCCTGAAAAGGACAGGGGCTGTGGCGGGTCCCCACCTGCTGCGATGGCCCCGATCAAAGGCTGCATGATCAGAACGAAGGGGTAGTTCCAGGCCCCGATGACCAGCACCACTCCCAGTGGCTCGGGGCAGATGTAGGCCTCGTCCCGCAGCGTCAGCAGGTTCTTCTTCACATGCTGAGGGGCTGCCCATGACGGCAGCTTCTCCATGGCCAAGGCCAGCTCCCGCAGCACACCCATGATCTCATGGCTGTACGCATTGTACCCGCTCTGCAACGACAGGAAGCTTGGGGAAGGGATGCCGAAGGCACCCACCTCCCGCACGCACTGCAGCAGCCCGGGGAAGCAAGGTAAGTTCTGCTAGCTTGAAGCGTTTGCCAGGGCAGTTATTGGTAGTGCTGCCCCAAAGGATCCCTGACAGCAGATGGTCAGTCTGGGTGCGTGGGGCTCACCGTGCAGCAGAAGCCAAAACCTGACAGCCAGGACCTGCCCTCACGCGTGCCTCAGACTAGGCTCCTTCTAATAAATGGTGGCAGCAGACCTTGGCAGGCCACGGCGAGAACCAGGATGGTGGGGAACATCAGCAGAAGCCATCTGGCACGGCAAAGGCAGCCCTTGGCCTTCCCGCTTTCCCTTCCGGGCTGACCACTGCCCGTGCACACCTGATGGGAGAAACCCCGACCCAGACCTTATGCAGATCCGCGTTCTGTGGAGTTGCCGGTGTAGAAGATGTGATCAAATCTCTGCTGCCAGGATCTCCTTCTCCTGCACCATCCGCTCCAGGGCCTTCAGCTGCTGCATCCTGAACTCCAGCGAGCGGCACCGGCCCGAGTTGAAGGCGGCTCTTGCCCGCCCAACGACCTGCTGCACCGTCTCCATGGCCGCTCAGCACTGCGGGGAGAGAGCGGCAAGACCCAGCTCGCTACGGGGCCTCCCTCCTACAGATGGGAATTGAGTTTGCCCGCGAGCGTTGGCCGCACTCTCAACCACCAGCTGCAATCCCACCTCCCCGGCTCGAAGGCAAATATCCGCTGTCATTCGGTCCTAATTCTGCCCTGTCTTTCCGAAACCTTAAATAATTTGCTGCAGTTTGGGATTTAGAAAAGTCTGAAAAGGAACACGGGGAGCAAACGTCGGTACAATAGCAAGGGTGCCCGGCATGCAGCCGGAGGCTGCTCCTGCGGTGGCTGCTCAGGGCTCCCACCCTCCGACGCCCCATCCTACCTGCGCAGGGTCCAGCGATGGAGGGCACCTCTCTCGCCAACCCAGCACCTCTGGGGACGGCTCGGGCCCAGGGCTCTCGCTAGATACACGATGCCCTCTACCCAGATATATCTTCACGCTGTGAATACGCAAGCCCTGGATCGCCGCGTTCAGCCGGGGCAGTGACGCAGCCGCCCGTGCGGGATTGCTCCTGTGCCGGGGCAGAGGCACCTCTCAACACACGTGTGACATTCAGCCACGCCGCGGCCAGAGCCGGGAGCAGCAGAGGATGGGCAGGATTCCCCAGGAGACTGCAGGCACTTACCACGCTCGGTTTATTAGTTAAATTCTCAGTGTTTATTTAGTACTTGTAAAATATAGCATTAAAAAGGCTTAGCACATGGATTTTCACCAGACATGAAGAAATCCCACCTATTGCACAGTAAATGTAATTTTCTAATTGCATTTAATAATAATTTTTAAATTTTCCTTCCTTATTTAAACATTAGTATTTCTAAGGTCCTTTCACCTTAACTTTCTCCAGCATCCTCTCCCCAAGCTAGAACAAGCCCCACATTATCTCCCAGTGCAAGATTATAGCAGACCCAGAAGCTTGAATGCAAAAAAACCACTTTCAGTAATTGCTTTCCCTTGGAGGAATGTGACCAGGGACGGGTTTGTACTGCTTTTGGCTGGGATGGAGTTAATTTTCATCATAATTGCTAAATTTCTTCATAGTAGGATGGTGCTGTGTTTTGGATTTGTGACCAAAACAGCGTTGGTAACACGCCTGTGGTTTAGCTGTCACCCAACAGTGCTCGTGCAGCATCAAGGTCTCCATTTCTCCACACCACCCCGCCAGCGCGTAGGCTGGGGTCAGCAAAAAGCGGAGAGGGGACACGGCTGGGAGAGCTTACCCCAACTGGCCAAAGGGACATTCCAGACCATATGACATTGTGCTCAGTGATGAAAGCTGGGAGGGGGAAGAAGAGGAAGTGGGGGACATTGAGATTTATGGCATCTGTCTTCCCAAGTCACCGTTACATGTGATGAAGCCCTGCTTTCCTGGGAATGGCTGAACATCTGCCTGCTGAGAGGAAGTAGCGAATGAATTCCTTAATTTGCTTGCTTGCACACCCAGCTTTTACTTTACCTATTAAACTTTTATCTCAACCTGCAAGTTTTCCCACTTCTACCCTTCTGATTTTCTTCCTCATCCCACCGCAGGGAGTGAGCGAGCGGCCGTGTAGGACTTGGGTGCCCACGTGGGCTAAGCCACAACAGGGTACTTTGTGATCCCCACTTCCCTAAACAGGCCTGGGAGTTCTTTTGCACGAGCATAAGATACTCTTAGCAGCAAAATGCAGGCAGTGCAGGTAATCATCTTTGTAATTTTCTAACTGCCAAATAATTGTTACAGGCACACGGTGAAACACAGAGCCCCAAAAGGGGTGTCAGCCTGCATCCCCTGACCAGCTGCGGACAATTCCGGCTCATAGGGATCCATGAATATTTCACCTCAATTAAAGTGGGAACCTCATTAGATTTATTCATAACCATCAAGACCAGTAAAATGTATCGGTCGGCACAGCCTGTGTCAGACTCATCACCAAGGGGCTGGTTGTTCAGAGCACAAGAGAAGACAGACCATCCCGAAAACTGCAGGGAAAACACCGTCAACCCAATCACAGCCAAAACAGGACCTCATCTTTGTCACTGAAGGAAGGTGAGTGGTTTGGTGCAAGACAACAGTGCGCACGTCCCTGGAAGCAGCGCTCTGCATGGCACGCGGTGGAGGTCGGGACTGGTATTTCTTGCTCTGCAGGCCTCCTTTTGAGAGCTTGTACCCACTGGTCCCTCTGTTTCAGCATGGCTTTTCAGTAAACAGGAGTCCGAGCCTTCTCTTGGTTAGTGCCTCTCTAAGGCTACTCTGTGTGCTTGACAGCTCACTGAAATAACCCAGTACAAAAGAAAAAAAGACTTCTCAGCTTAAGGAAACAGATGCAAAGCGAGCACTCGGAGTATGACTTGCACACGGTGCCTTCTCCTCTCTTCAGCAGTAAACCATCTGTGAAAGCAAAGCACAACACCGACGTCCCATGAAGGATTTGCTGAGACAAAACCAACTCCCTTTCTAGAACAGCCTGGAGCAAAGCCCCTTCACTCAGGGTGACTTCCCCCGGCTCCAGCTTGCCTGCTTCCTGCCCCCTCGGCATGCACTGACTGCTGGTATTCTTGGATGCCGTACGAGCCCCGAGCACTGCCAGGGAAAGGATTGCTCTCTGGCTCCCGGCGGGACCTTCCGCAAGCCCCACATTCACTACTCTAACACATCTTTGCCCGATCTCAAATCAGGTCTACGCACAGGAGAAGAAAAAGGCTCCTACCTCACTGTGACAGCCACAGCAGTGCTCTGAAACCTGCTCCTCCTTACCACTCACTGAGCCAGCCCAGCCTCTGAACAGCCAGCACAATCAAGAGGGCTTTTCTCTTCAGCACAGACTGGTGATTCTGAGAAAACCCAAATGATTTCAAAATGCCGTGAGTTTCCCCCTCTTCGCTGAGAAGGCATTCACCCAGGCAGGGCCTGCTTCCCTGGCTGGTGCTTCAAAGCCTGAGCCACTTGTTGGCTCTTACATCTCTCTTACACCTCCTCCTAGACTCAGATATGCAGGCAGGGTATTTCCCCCTGCTTGCTGGGCTCCTGCACATCTCCCTCCAGCAGTAACAACGCAAAACAGACTGAAAGGTGGAATCCTGATCCACCCTGCTGTCTCCTGTCCCCTCACGTGGCTGCTCCCTTAAGCCTACTAAGCCCCCAGGATGCACAGCTGAGCTCCGCAAGGAGCAGCCAGCGCAGGCACACGTAGCGCCTGCTCTGCCAGCCATGGAGAACCACCAGCGATCACACCTGGAGTTTTAGATCTTACCCCTCCACCTCAGGGAGGCACCTCGAGTCCTCCTGCCAGCACCAGCAGGCTTCTGCCTCCCGCAGAGAGGGGAGGACATCCCACCCTTCTGCACTACCCAGCTGGAAACAGGGGAGGAAATGGAAATAACTGAGCTAAGGTCAGGTGGGGGCTGCAACTGGGTGAGGAATAAGAGCTCGCTGCAGCCCCAGGCTTTAGGGGACAGCCTCCCTTCCCCAGGGCCCTGCGGCACAAAACCGCAGTCGGCTGGGCTAGGCTGTGGAGCAGCTCACAACACCGCTGAAGAAAGCCTGGGAATCAAAATTGCTCTGAAGAGACCTGTCCAAAATGTACCAGCTTCTGCCTCTGGAGGGAGCTTCTCACGAGTGTCACCCACCAAGGCAGAGCAACGAAAAGAGTACAACAGCCCAGGAGATTTCTCTGAGGACATTTCTATTCTAGATAGCACTTGCAAGAGTGAAAAGCAGATCTTGGTAATTTCAGGTGGGACAGATATCATTGAGTCTCAAGACAGAAAAAACAGGCCAGGGTCTAAGAAAGGATGGCAGTTGCAAAGAGGGGACTTGCAGAAGATCAGCTGAATTGCACACGCACTCATGTAGGTGGCAAAGAGCCAAAGCTCACCTTTATCACCACCGCTGCCACGATCCCCAGCAGGGCCAAGATGACCAGTCCCACTCGGCCCTTGTTAAACCGCTTCAGGAGGAAGAACTTGGCCCAATCCACCTTCTTCTGGCTGCCAGGTGGGTACCGGAGTTTGTTCGTACCCTCCATCTTCAGGTCCTTGATCAAGCAGGAGCGGCGGTGGGAGAAGGTCTCAAAGCTGTACTGGCCGTGGTAGGCGCCCATCCCACTGTTACCTGAGGAACACAACCCAGGCAGGTCACACCACAGGCTCAGCCAGTCAAACTTTTGGCCACTGGAGGCCACCAGTGGGGCAAGAAGCAGCACAGCAAAATTCCAGTTGCTTGCCAGCTGCAGTGCATGTTAACCTACCCTGCATCTGCCTTGCTGCAGTTTAAAAGCGCAACTTCTCCATGTTCCTTCAGAGGGGGCAACTGTTCCTTCCTCTCTGCACCACTTCTCAGTCTCTAAGATGCTCATCTGTACTCCACCCCTCTTCCTCCCCAGCCCGCTTTCACTACGTACTCTCCGGTACTTCATTGCATCCCTGCGTGCACTGTTCCCCGTGCCTCTGAGCCATCTCCAGCTCTTGCCTGGATTTAGCTCCCTCTCAAAGCACCACACCAAGGCTCAGAGATCCGACCAGTGCTGCGTGAGGAGTGTTTCCTGAGGAGCCCCGCAGGGTACACCTCCGTTTTCCAATTCCAGGACAGCATATGCTGTTCACAGCAGCAGAACGCTGCTGGTTGACAGTCAGCTTGTGAGCACTGTAACACCCAGACCCTCTTCTGCAAAGCTCCCGTATGCTGTTCTGGAACTTGTTCCAATTCTCCCCAAGCTGAAGTCCTACCCTTCCTCCTGCAATAACTGCTAATCACTCCGAGCGCAGTTAATCTTCTTAATGCACCCTTCACGTCAGTCTGCGCTAAATACTTCAACCTTTTCAAACACACACACAAAGGTTGTTCTCTTTTGGCCCCTTTTCCTAATGTATTCCCAGAATTTATTATTGAGATCCACTACACAGAGACCCTTCGGCTGTAACAGGCGCAGGGTACTTGGACACAAACCAACTGCTGCTGTTCCCTGGGTTACACCGTGCATCAAGTCACACCACTTCAGGAGCTCCAGTAACTTACCAACACCACCGAAGGGTAAGGTTGAGAGGAAGTAATGCATGATGACATCGTTTCCAGTAACACCCCCGCTAGAGGTTTCTGAGATGACTCTTTTGATTAACTAACAAAAGAAAAAAAAAACAAACAGAACATTACAAAGGCCCAGAAGAGACCAGAGACCATGTAGGGTCTGTAGGGACTGTATAGGGGAGCTATGAGCCAAGAGGCCATCGTGTTCATTTCTCTCTGACAACTCAGAGAGCCCTCTCCATGCGATGCTAACTCAAAGAAAGTAGGAAAGTAGGAAAGTTTGGAGGAAGAATGTGAAAGCTGGAAATCTGGGAGCTTGCCTCCCTAGCAATAGAGTAAAAGTAACTAAATTAATCATGAAAGACTACATGGCACCAAAGAGGAAATTCAGCCTTTTCTCCTTCCATTTCACAAAGTCAGGCAAATGCAAAGCACTTCAGCAG